TCTTCGATTGTGTGATTTTTAAATTGTTCCTCGATGGTCTTCTTTCTTTCATATCTAAGTCTTTGTCATTAAGTAAAGTCAAAACGAAGCGACACTGATATATTTTTTATTAACTATCAAGTTTCCCAAATCTACGACCAAAACCTTCATAAATCAGCTCCAACTTAAGTGTCCAATTAAAACACTATAATATTAAAAACCGTCTTACATCGAGTGCGCCACAAGAAACGGATTAAACGTAACAAATCATGTTACAGATCTATTTCATAATCTCCGTCTCTACCCTGCATGGCTATGCTAAGGAAGCATAACCGAATGTTCAGGATGACTCTATAAGGAATCTGAAATCCTCTTAGCATACGATCTCGTCTGGCGGTGTGCGAAGGTATAACATGTTGCAACGTATCCCGTCGCGTATTGTCACTTTAGAATTCTACGACGAACAGATGCGGCGCATATCAAATTACGAGATCGATGAATGTTTCGCGTGATATCGCGGGTATGGGCTATACTGGTGATTTCCGCGGCGCGCATCGTCGTAAACACGAAGTCGTAAAACGCGGGCCGAGTAACGGCGGGGCAAGAGGAGAGGGTTGAAAACGCATGTAAATGCATGCTGTCGTCGATGTTGGACGGTCAGTGTTTTTCCCTCGGTATTCGGTATCGCACTGTTTGGTGTTTTAATGTTGATTGGACGACTGCCGATTCAGCCGGCGTTCGTTTGCCACGATTGTTGTTTCCACACGCGCCGGCCGCGGTCGAGCGAGAATTTTCAAAATTCTGTACCGCGTACATACACGTGCTGGGGCACACGTAACCATAGGCGGATAAATCGTCAGCGAAATCGCGAACGTGGATGGGTTTATTCCATTTCGGCAGGTAATACGACGTCCCGAGGTTCTTCCGGGACGATGGTGAATCATACTGATACCGACGATTCTCGCGAAGTAATGCGATGTCTGCGGATCTCTCGGCTCTGCTTGGTTATAGACAATTTTGTAATCATTAAACCTTTGAGTACGAAGCGGAGCGCAGATCAACACTTCGTATTGATTTCGTCTTATTTAGAATAGAAATGATTGTTACTAAGAAATCATTATCTATCATTTTATGTCGCAGCAGCAGTTTTTGTGAGCAGATATATTTGTTCTTTACTCATTAACAATCGCTAACTTATGTTTTTTAATAATTAAAGTAAGGTCAGTCAGGTGAATTATCAGCGACTCCGGGGAAGAGATTTTCTAATAACATAAAATGACGTTTAATATGACGTTGATATTGTAATATCATATCAATATTCATGTAAGTTTGTAATAAATAGATATGTGGACAACTTAACTTAATAGTTGTAATGTGAAAAGCAGAATTAAATTTGAAAAATGCATCGTTCTATATATAATTGGTGAAAGGATGTTTCTTTTTATTACGATCAAAGTTATACTTTATGGATTTTGGTTTTAGTCTCGAACTTTGAGAACTGTGAGTGGTATTCGTGTAAATTTATGTTATTCTCTGTTATTGCTTCGTTAAATGGCTGTTAAATTATTTACGACGTATTTAATACACGTATAATATAATGAGTATTTAGTTATTTTAAATGATAACGGTTGTATTGCTGGTAAAATGTAATTAATTTCGACAATTATGTGAAACCCTCGTATCAAATTTTCCATACTTCAAAGTTGCTATTTTATCACCAGAGATATTGTAATCAGCAGGTCATTCAATTTTATACCAGGAATTTATCAAGCATGAAAAGAGTATCGTTCTAAATAAATCAAATTAATAATTTCTGCATACAGCTCGTGGTACAAAGCCGTGTAAATTGAGATCAGCAATTTCAGCTGAACGTAATTATGTTGCAATCTCTGGCATTTAATAATTTTTAATAATTTCTATATCAAATTTATTTTATAATAACCATTTATAATATACACTACGATTACAATATTCTACTCTATTTTATTTTCTACCTCTAGAGCTATAAATTTTATTTTTCACAAATTTACATCTATTAAAACGTGCGAATGACACGCCAGCTGTACTTGACTATAAATTCTACTGTTTCTACTCACATTTACTTTATTACCACTAATAGATTTATTGCTTGATAGGGTTGACAGGTATACGGGCACGTATTGTTATTATAAGGAGGACTCCATAGAAGCTATAAAGCTGTCGTGTTGCAATTGAATAGTAGAGATATGTGTGTATGCGATATGAGTCTAAGTAAACACTTGAATATGAAAGCCAGTTCGGCTACAGTGTGTACACACGCGGAAATTTTGATGGAGGAACGTTTGCTTAAACAATCTTTTTAGTACATCAACAGATTTCATCAGTGTATTTGGATTTCGAATAGAGATCTTCCTGGACAACAAATCACATTTCCGCCAGTAAAATATCACTCAGTGTTGCAATTGCTTTATGGGTTTGGTACTAATTTATAAAACAAGGATTGTAGCTCTAATTCAATAATATAATCAAACGATTCACTCGTATTGACGCATACAATTTTCTCCGTGGCTTCCATTCATTTCTACTCATAACAAACAAATGCTTACAATTCCAATTAAAATATATACCGACGTTGATTTACTTGACAGGAACTTGAATACTCCTGTTCCGTAATCCCTTTATTTCGACAGAACGCCAGGATTTCCAATTAATCACAATTCAGAATAAAGAACAATAATAGTAGCTATATCACGATTCTAGACTCGACATCGAATCGAAAACGTTATCCGCCTTTCAAACAGTCTGCATAAATCAAGTTGTGCCGGGCAACCGCTTGAGCGTGACATTCGATTCCACAAACAACCCGGAGAATCTGGCAATTTCGGCAATCCACCATACTGTAGCCTGTAACTCGTAAATTCCCATAAACGAGGTACAAAAATAGTGGAAGTTGGACTCCACGGCGGCAGCACTTCGCCCGTTTCAAGTGTTTCGTGTATCGCGTGCTCGAAGTATACACACGTGCGATTCCATTGCTCGTTCCATGCACGAAAAGTCGGCCAACCGCTGACGAAGAAGCTCGCCAACGGCGAAACTGAAATAAGGGGTTGGATCCATCAAAAATTCAATCCGCTCGAGTATTCGCGGTTCCCTTCGTGAAGGGTTCAAGAGAAAAAAGAAAGAGTCGCATGAAACGTTTCATAGAATCCTTGAGACGATGTGAATTCACGTCAGGCATAGTGTGGGAGATTGTTCTTCGCAAGAAAAAAAAAAAGAGGACTTTTAGCTTTCAAAAAGTATGAAATGTTTTTAACTCCTTGCTGTAGAATATATCATTTACAGGCTAAACGTTAAAAACGTAAGTTACGGTATTGCAGACCAAAATTAATAAATACGAATAAAACTCGCGTATCACTTATATTGGTTTAAAATCAGAATAAGAATATAGAAAAAATAAGGGTTAGAAATAAGAATAAGAGAAAGAAAGCAAGAAACTTCACCAAAGAATATTTTTTAAAAATTAAATAAAATTCTAGAATACGTTTAAGGGGCGCTAAAAATAAAGTAACACAAAACTTCGAACAATTTCTTTAGTTTAAAGAACTAGAATGTCTAGAGTTCACCCCTCAACACCTAAATATATCGTGCGTTAATTTTTCAAAGTAGAATATATTCAGGAAACTTTTTTCGCGTCCACTCAAAATTCCACGTCTTCAGAAAAAAGGACGAAGACAAATGAAACATAGCACCTAATAAATAGTACTGTGTTGCAAACAACGCTATCCCATTTCACTCGGCCAAACTTTCTATTCTTGAAGCAGAAAAACACGTTCTAAGGTTAGAGAAACGCGGCGAGACGAGTCGGAGGAATTGGCGCATTCGGTTCTTGAAGCATGTGTGGCCCATAAATAACATGTAAATATTTTCAATAACTGCGCAGCCAGCCCTAGCATGAAAAATGCAAACCGCTTTGCGTCCGGTCGCTCGCCGCGCTATCGTGCCGTATGTACCGGCTTCTCCAACCCCGTACGAACCACTCCAGATCGGCGGCCACCCCCTGCCATCCTTCTCGCGGCTCCTACGTCCTCCTCGGTAAACTATCTTTTAATATATCTGTATGTACACTGTGTTCCGCGTAAAATTTATGACGCCGGACGCCGGCCGATATTTGTTTCACTCGAGTGCTCGACTTCGTCCCTCGTTCCACCTTCCCGCGATCACTTCTCTAAATCCTCGCACCGTGTTATATGCATGTCGCGTGGTCGCTATGGAAAAAGAGCCCCTTCATGAAACAATTTTGAATAATTTGAAAATGCGAATTAATCGCGAACTTCGAATTGTTTCGCGATAACCACTGTCAAGTGTGACGTTGGTATTAATTCTTGAAAGTGACGTGAGTTAGGGCACAGCAGAATTGGATAGCTAAGCGACACAAATTCATAAAATGATTTGACCCAAATAAAAAATCTTTGATATCTTATTTCCATGGCTGTGCCTTATTTTGCTGGATTTTTCCTGCATCCAGATAGTTTACAAATGTCCTCCAATTTTACTTTTTCCTTTGGAAAATATCGATCACGCGTAATGAATGAAATGATCACGCCTAATTTTTAATTCCTCTCTATTTTCTTCAAACCTAATTCAGAAAAAAGAAATTTATTCATTACATCTTTTAAAATAAAGTAATTTGGTATATAAACTATTTATTCGATTGATACGTACCACACAATTTACGTTAGCAAAACGCATATATACCATTGAGTTAACTCGAAAGCATCAGGAATTTAATGTAAAGCAAGGCGACGCAAGTTATGAAGTATAGGGGCATAGTAGCAAAGATGTTTAAACATGAGAACTTGATGATTAAGCGAGGTTGGTCTTTGTACGGATTTTGAGACTTATTTGTAACTTGAAAAGTTATTTGATGCGTGTAATGATAATCCAGAAGTTTTAACTCGTGTAGTAGTTAACTTCCGTAAATTGTTTGAAGTTTCCACTGTTCCTTGTAGTGTTATTTATGTATGCTTCGTTTTGTATTACAGAGGCTTTGGATTCATCACGTTCGCAGATCCCGCGAGTGTAGACAAGGTGCTGGCACAGGGTAATCACGAGTTAGACGGCAAGAAAGTAAGTATTTTAGCAAATTTATACCAGTCTTTTAAATACACTATTCATTAAAATCATAATTTCTCCTCAATTCATATAGATGAAACGTTATACAATTTTTATACTATAGATAAATCTTGATAAATACAATATAAAATAAAACCAAAATGATTATATTTGATAAAAATAACAGCAATGCAAACAATAATAATTCCAGTAAAAATTCTATCATTTCCATAATATTCTCTACACTCGAGAATTTTCCTTACAAAGCATGCGCGATTGTTTTCTATCTCCACTTCATTTACGTATAAAGTATCTAATTCCAAATACCAATTACGATCTCGTCGAATCACCATCATGTGAAATTAAGCATCAATCGCGTTACACTAGCCTTTTGACTACTTTCACATAGCAACATGGTAATTATCGAAGGCAGGGAAATCGTTGTAGGAAGAAGCTGGCCACGTTTTCATGGTGGCATTCCATAACGCACTAATTACAGGATCGTTAGTTCACCGTACGTAATGACCACTTAAAGTCAATGGCATCCATTCGCGATGTTGTAAGACAGAAAAAAAGGTAATGAGAGTCAACACGAGAGACACGGTTGGTCAAACGAAGAAGCATCGATCGTTCGTTACACGAAGACACGAAAAATATCGGTTTGCACAAGAGCGTCGCGATCGAATGTGTGTCGCGAAAGCAATTAACTATCGCCGAGTTCTTGATCAAGATAATTGATACAGTACGGACTGGGTTAATTGATCTCGCTGATAGATAAATATTGCCCGTGTCTGGATTCCTGCGGTCGGCATTTGTCTCCGTCTGATGGCGCAAGAAATTGATTGGTTATTGGAACTACGTTCCAGAGAACGCGGAGACGCTAGGTGGGAAATGTATATATTTAGCAAGCAAATTTAATTGATGTCTTGTTGAAAAATCATGAAATATAAAAGGAGAGTTTTCAGGCACTACAAAGCCATATTTAGGAAAGTACGAATTAGATGATTATTATATTTTATTTCTGTGAATTTATGTTTGATGTAGAAGTAATTCCGAGTTTTAAATTTTGCGTGCTAAATTATGAAAGACTGCAACTGACGTGATTAAATTAAATTAGATTTTATAAACTAATCAAGTAAAATTATCTAATTTATATTTTATAGTAATTCAATATTTCAAATAATTTGTTCATATTGCCCACTGTCATAATTTAATAATAATCTGAACAGAACCGTGTAAATTATAGGTATTAATGCCCAGTAAATTCATAAAGACACGCAATTATGCATAATACATTCACCAGTTATAATACTCCAATCGACGTTCACAATTCTATCCTGATTAAAACCGAAATTCTATTTTCACCGTGTGAAAATTATACTGCATAAATTCATTTAACAAAAATATTCTTGGATTCGTATACTTAAAGCTTTCGATTACCTATCGCTTTCTCACAATATGGAAGTACTCGGCAGCCCGATAACCGATTCTGGAAATTCATTGTGGCGAAGTGAACCAGCAAGATTGACGAATCATACGAATTTCGTGAATTCGTTGATAATTCGGGTGAACGGCGGGCACGAAAGGAAACGCGAGAGGGCGTTTTCCACAGGGTGAAACTTTCAGTGGCTCGTTTCACGCGCGCTTAGACAATTACCAGCGGCGAATCAGGGAACGGCACGCGCCGTTGCGCCGCCGCATTGACCGGAACGATGCTTTTGGCAGAGATTAATCGTTCCACGCCACGACGTGTCACCGTTTGGCAAATACGTTTCTGTCGTGGCCGGTTCTGAGGAGACAATACGTAGCTGGGAATAATATCGTAAGGCGGCTAAAGGGAATAGAGGAGGAGGGCAGACAGAGAGAAATAGTTGCGGACATTAGCTGTCCACAGGAGCATAAGTACGACGACCGTGCGGCCGCTTCCGTAAGTACTCCGAATACGTATTAACCGTAGCGCGCGGCTGCGTTCCTCTACCCGAGGTATATCCAGACTCACATAAATTTCGTGTAATTCGCTCGCCTAATGCAAATTGCGAGCGCACTGTGCCGGTGTCTAACACCTCCTCGATAGTACACGAGGAACGAGATAGCGACGTGCACGAGACCGACTCTGCCGCATCCTATTAAGGTTTCCGTCGTCCCTTCTTCCCCACCTCATCCCACTGTCTTTATCTCCTGTCGTATCTGTTTTGTCCGTTTCTTTCTTGCGGTTTTCCTACGTAGCTCAAGCTGGAAATCGAGGCTGAGATGTAAAGAGACTTGCTTGAGTAAAATGTATAACGTACACACAATGTATATCGTCTTTTTAATTAAGGTAGTTTTTAACTGGAATCTCATCTAGCTGGATCAGATTGTTAGCGTTTAATTGAAAAAATGAGAAAGGAAAGCAATAGTAGTTCTCTCTTTCTATTTCTTCGTACCTGATAACGTTTAAGGAAATACGGTACACGCTATTTTATTCTTTTGATTTATTTTTGCACAGAGAATCACCTGTATATTTTTACCTCGTATAAATGTGGATAAGAAACGACTGGTTCCTCGAATTCTCAATATAAGCTATCAATACATTGTTCAAGCCTTGTACCATTCAACTAATAAATGGAGCAACGAACATGACCGATAAAATGATTCTTCGTTAATTTCCCATTCGACTAAATCTTCCTAAACATTAAAACAATAATCTTAAACGCAAATCATAAACTTGTCTCTATTCTCGTCCCATCGATTTGCCATCTCTTTCATCTCTTGATTTTCCTCTCCTTCCTTTCCCGCTTGTCATCCTTCGCGGGCAAGACGAAACAAGGAGCAAAGAAGAGAGAAATGGTCGAGAGTGCGCGTCGCTCTCGTCCACTGACAAGCTTCGTAACATTAATTAGCGGATCGTTCTTCTCTGGTCGCGTTAATGAACGCTCTCGTGTAATTCTGAAGAGGTCCTTGGCTCGCGTTGTGCGCGAGAGAAAATAAACGAAACAAAGCTGAGATAGGGCAGAACTGTTTGGGGGGCGTGGACCGGAAGTCGCGACGACGCTTCCATCACGGGATCCCCCCGCCTGCCTGGCAGCGTGTCGACGCATCCGCCGGATGAAATTCGTCGCGCGGCCTTGTCGAGGGCTCGATCGCGCGCGCCAGACCTGACTATACATATACCGTTCACGACTACCTACTTTGCTGACTTTCATCCGTTTTATATTTCACTCGAGGACACTTTCCCCGTTCATTTCTTATTATCTTCGCCCCGGCGCTACTTCCCGACCTCTTTCTGAATTATGAAAGTGATGAAGTGTCTGTGCATTCGACGACGATACGGGAAAATACGTAGATTCGTTGAAACCAGGCAATTTGCACATTGGATTAATAAAAAGAATGAAATCTTGTGTTTTTCAGACCAGTTTCTTTTATTAGTCTATAAATGAGCAAACGATTAGTTTGAGTTGTGAGAATGGCGATATGTGATTATTGATTAAATTGACTGGTGAAAAGAGGTTTTCTTTGTTACAACGTCATTCTGTTCCTTCCAAGTTATTTCTTATTCTCTTCATTCACATCTGAGAGGAATATAAATGTTCACTTGAACACCACGATCTAGTGAAAAATTTTAGGAGCTTGTACATCTATGTATCTTTAACTATAAAAGAAGTAACAAACAAATATATATCATAAAACTTGGCTGCTTATTTATATTATACATTATTCCATGATCTCACAACACCGTAATACCTCGATAAATATCAGAAATTAATCGCTTCGACAAACTTCTCCTCTTCTCCACAAAATTCGAAATACCCTATCAATATCCCCTCGAAAAACTGGCGCGTTACATTCAAGCCATTTCCACCGCTATTTCGTGCAGTTTGCCGAATTAAAGCGATTCAATGGGCACCGAATGATAAACGATGATCCATCGAATTATCACGGACGAGCAGAAGACGACACAGCGACAGGAACGAAGGGAGGCATTTTTGTCGTGCGATTTTAGGGATGCGTGTCAGCAGCAGACGAACAGGACGTTTAATATTATTGAAAATCACCGGGAACGCACGCAAGAGCGATTTTGCGAATCGATGCTAGCCGTTCCTCTCTATTTGTCCCGCGAGACAATGATTTCGCAAGCTGCCGCGTAAGCACCCGCACCGTGGTACCTACGCTTGGTCAAAATGGTCGTTAGATTGCGCTTAATCGGTTCTGGATCCTGATTAAAAAATATATGGATCGCACGTGCCGTAACCGTGCAGCCTCGTTTGCTTTCTGTTTAATCACGCCACGTGAATCAGCAATAGTTAAATCAATCATAGCTGCGTACGTGAGAGGACGTGATAGTACACGAAAACGATTCGACCTAATTTTTTTTTTATTTATCGATGATACTGTTTTCTTTTTTGGTTATTTATCTTGTGTACAGAACATTCTATGTTTTATTTATTTTCTAGTAGATTTCGCGAATTTTTTATTTTTCAATGGGTGCTTCGAAGCTACCATTTTTCATACTGCCAATCGGATATGCTATTTTTGAAAAGTATCTGCGTTGTATTCGTCGTTTCATTCTAACAAACGTTTCGTACTCGATATACAGGGTGGTTGATAACTGGTGGTACAAGCGGAAAGGAGGTGATTCTATGCGACAAAAGAAGTTGAAAATATAAAATAAAAATTTTTCGTTTGAGGCTTTGTTTTCGAGAAAATCGACTTTGAATTTTCGCTCGGTACGCGTGCGGTACGTTATAACGGATCTCACTGTGGATCGTTGTCTCGGTGGAAAAATTAAAAAAAAAAAATTAAAAAAAATTAAAAAAAGAAATTTTTATTCTATATTTTCGACTTCTTTTTTCGCGTAGAATCATCCCCTTTCCGCTTGTACCACCAGTTACTAGCAACCCTGTATAAACTACCTCCATAACTTGCTCGGAATTTTGCAGTACTTCTTACGTTTTCGTAATCAGTAACGTAACTATGTTAATACATTTCTATAGAATCGTGGCTTGGTAAGAAAGAAAGCGTATTTTACATGGTAGAAT